AGGCCATGGCCTCAGCTGGAAAAGGTTGCCCACTCTGGGTCAGGGACGAGTTCCTGCCCCAATGGATGGATGGATGTATGGATGTTCCTAACACACACATCACACACCACAGCCTTCCTGTGGTCAAGTAGAGCTCTCGCACTGGATTACTATACAGAGCTGCAGTCTTAAGGGACTTTGAAGTAAAGAGGTAAGAGGCTTTTTAGCTGCAGAGTCAAAGATAATGCATGGCAGTACATTTGCATTTTATTAAAGCAACCAAATCACTTATAATAACTAATAACTGCACAGATTAAGCCATAAACTGAAACATTAAAAAATATGACATACTGCACGGGACATTTGGAACATTTTGAAGTTCTAACGAGGCAGTCTGTGTTGCTCTCTATCAGCCTAAGTAAACAAATGTCCAACAGGCTTTGGAATCACTTACAGGTATAAGTGAACAGGGGTCTGAAAGACTTAAAAACCTGAAGCTTGATGGGCTCCATCACGCGCATCACACAGTGCAATCATTAACCTATTAGCTCACAAAGTCCTTCAGACATGTGGATCCATTTTCCAGGCCTTGGCCACATCACCCTCTCATTCTCTGTCCCTCTTGCTTTCTCTTTCCCCCCATACTCTCTACACAGGAACAAGTGAGCACAGCACTTTTTCCCCCTCTTTCCGTCCCCCTCTGAAGTTCCAGCTGCTGTAGACAGACTAATGTGTTCCCCAGAGCTGAGGGGCAGACCACAGCCCCAGGAACAGACTGGGCCCTGCTACCAATAAACTCTAGTTTCACATAGAAAAAGAGAGAGAAAGAAAAGAGAAGAGATTCATTATACAGTCAGGGAAAACTTAACTTTAAACTTTCTCACTCATAAACAATTGTACCATTGTGGAGTTTTATTGATTATTTTTGGCTGCTTCTATACTGCTGACATTGTAAACAATTAGCTTTTATTTAACTGGAAGAACACTATTGGGGCTGGTAAGCAAAGGCAAATGATGACTGATGGAGGGGACGATGGAAGACTTTCAGCAACAAAAAAGCTGAAAACTGACCTCTGTAGCTTTAAAAAATTAAAATCCCTCAAATCTTTCTGAACACAAAAAATAGAAAGCTTAAACAAGAGAATATTTGCTTTTTCTTACTTACTCTGAAAATGAATATGATATAGATATAGCCAACAACACTTTTTATTGATTTATTCATAGACAGTGAATAGGCATTGAATGAATTATTCTCTGCCAAATTCAGCTATTAACATCTTCAAAACTAAAAGATCGTGTCATTTTAATGATATGGATTACAGACTGTATATAAAAGATGGATGTCGCTTTTGGATGTGAAAGTCAAACCATTCCTAACGTCCCTTTAAATCTTATTTTTAATAGCCAGCAGTGGATGATCCTCTAGTTACAAAAATGTGTGCTTTCAGAGGAGTCTAGGGGAAAATGATCCTTTGGCTACTTAGTCTGTGAGCACAGACTCACCTTTACAGTAAAATGTAGTATAAAGTAGGATGTTCAACAGTATGAGTGGGAAGTCTTTGGTTTCACGGTCAGAACTGCCCCTTTACTCATAACATCCAGTTTGAAAACACTAAGATGGTGATGGTTAAGTTGCTGTGCTGGAGGCTTCACTAACCTTTGGCTACTATCACGATGGCTTATTTGAAGTCTTCCTATTCATACCTCAGATTTTACGTTGACATTACTCTGTCGTCTAAAACTGTGGTAATAAAAGAAGACTATTATGAAGTTGAAATATGTGGTTATTACACTTTAGGTGCGATAATTAAACAACCAGAGGTAATTATTCTGCATGGTTTCAATGTCCCTTTTAATGCAAACCAACTTTGCTTGCCCTCCCGCCCTCACATTATAACAGACTCATCGTCTAATTTTCCATCTAATAACTCTCACTAGTTCCACACGCTAAGTTCTGCACATTAACAGAAATCCGAGTTCCAAACGAAAATCTAAATAATGGTGCCTTTGCAAAGTGACCACAGGTCTTCTGGGGCTTCATCGCTGACACATGGTCTGGATAACTCATTCTGACTTCATATAAAACAAACACTTCATACTCATAGTGTTGAATGTCTTGAATTACAGCAAACCTACTCAAATTACCTGCTTCTTATTTTGCAGGCAATTTTTAGTAAAGCAGGTTTGTTGTTTATCAAGAAAAAGTCTGATGCATCGAAATGTTTCAAATGCATGTGCAGTGAAAGGTTTCTATGATGATGAAGATTCTTAAACGGCCTATATCTTTATGTTACAACATGTTATAAGTACCAGTCATTCCTGAATCTGCACAGCCACTGACCATGTGCTGCAAACAAACAGGGGAAATCCCCCTCAATAAAGACCAGACTGACTGTCATCAACAGACTGAACAGGTTTTATCATAGAATGAACAAACACAAAGCACATGTCACTGCTCTTTTCTGCACTCCTTGCAGACATTGTGGACCGAACAAAACCTGAATGCTTCAACCTCTTCAGACTTAAGGGTGGTTGGGGGGGTCTTTGTAACACACCTCACTCTGCAATCGTGACCAACTTTTCAGCTGTGTCACAGAGCCATGAGAGTGAGCTCCCTAATGCAGCTCTGCTATGATTCGCAGTCAATAGGCCGTGGCTCTCTGCCACACATTCCTTCACATGACTGGCTGTGATTAACATGCAACGTGGATCCCTCTGGTCCAGTAGACAGACAAAAACGCAGACAGATAGGGATATTGAGAGAACTGGAGAGAAAATGCAACAAACATATGTGCTACAAAGCAATGCGTTTTCCTTTAAATATCAACACCGTCCATAGATTTTTACCTGCCAGGAATAAGTGAGTGTCTCTGCAAATTGGTTGTGAAACGAGCATTGTAGTATCTGTTAGTTGTTTTTGCAGCTTGTTGTGTATGAACACTAACAAGATCTGGACTGACTGCAAGCCAGCTGTGTTTTAAAGACCCATCTGGTTGCACCTGCATGCTCACTTTGCTTCACTTGCACTCTGAGTACTAGGCTAAATTTGGAACACTGTCATTCCAGACTTGAATCGCCAAACCAACAAAATAGCTTTTTAACAGCAGTTTAACGGGAGAATTACAAAACCGTGAGTTAATATTTTTATTCTGTTGTGCTGGCTGTGACTTCAGAAAGCTTGGTCAAAAATACCTTTGCAGACTTTTTCACTTCAACTAACTCAGGACTCATTGGATAAATGCTTATTTGTCAAGCCTTAATTTGGCCAAATGAACTCAGTACAGTACTCAGTGAAACCAATTCAGAGACTTGTACATACATGGCAATAGACACACAAAGGTATGTCTGTAATTTTGTAAAAGCTGTTTCCCTTTACAGTCACTGCAGTATGGGACTAGATAAACAGATGTGGTGGGACATTTATGTACAGTCATCAAGGGCATGGAAAACATGCTAATATAATGGTGGAATAATTGTACAGCATTTTAAAAAACAAGAATTGTTTCAGATTTTATCACTACAGTCAAAAGTCAAATATATACATACATACATTTACTTAAATCATTTAATAAGTGACTCTGAAGGTTCTGAAGGATCTATTAACTTGAAAAGTTAAAGAAAAGGCCAAGGTCTACTAACTTCTCAGTGATCATGATTCATTGCAGCTGGTAGTTTGTCTTTGTCAGGATAAAAAGGATTTGTTTTACTCAATGATCAATGCTGACCAATACTCAGAACAAAAAAAAAAGAAAAAAGAACAATGGGAGAGTCCAACGAATTCAGCAAAGATTTAAGAAGACGAATTGCAGCTTTACACAAGTTATGAAGGTGTCTTGGAGCCATTTCTAAAATACTGGATATTCAAAGATCATCAGTTCAAACAAATGTATAAGTTAATCAGAATTGTGACAACTTTGCCAAAGTCTGCAAGAATAGCCAAAGTGTCACCCTCAGATGAGAGAAAATAGGTTAAAATGCTTAAAAACAACCCAGGAAATACCAAGAAAACAAGCCTGCCATGAACTGGAAACTACTGCAACACCAGCTTTACTGTACATAGAAAAGAAAGTTTTACACCACCGTGGACCAATAGGGGGCTGACCAGGAAAGAAGGCCCTGCAACAACAGTAAGCATGACTAAAATTTGCAGCTGCCAACATGCACTAACCACATGTCTTCTAGAGAAACGTTTTACAGTCAGACGAGACAAAGACTGATATTTGGCCACAGCAGCAAGAGAACAAGAGGTGAAACTTGCTAAGGGAAATTAACCACATATTAATAGGGGTGTTTGTATATAGTTGAGCCTGTATAATTCTGACCCTGTGTGGATGACATAAAATCCCAAATAAATTCAAACTTGTGCACCAAATTTAAAGTCATTAAACATGTACATGTACAGTCATTGCACCCTGCAAAACAGATAGTTCAAAGAAATCATTAAAAACTTACCATGAAATTTTAGAAAATACTTCTATAGCTGAAAATTAGATATTGTTAGAAGTTCAATAACACCCTCATGTCTGCATGCTAGCTAAGAATAAAAGCCAAAAGGCAATTAGCTTAGATGCGCATAAAGACTGTCAGAGAAATACTGAAAGCATACATTTGTCTCGTTTGTTTAATCAGTACATAAATAGAAATGTCAAATAACTATAAACAAGTAGTTAAATGCTCATATTATTTCTTGGCGAACAGAAGCCAAGTGCATGCCTGCTTTGAGTCTCTACTGCCAAGTCTTTACACTGAAAACAAAGCTAATCAGCACATCTGGCTCTTGCTTAATGTTTAATGTAGACAGATGTATGGTCTTATTGATCTTCTTATCTCACTCTTGGCAGGAAAGTGAATGAGGACTATTTCCAGTATTTAAAACTATTCCTTTTATGGTGTGCTTGCTTAGATACAAAGCAAGAAAAACAAAAGCGAACAAAAAATTAATGGTGTTCACTGAGAACACCTCTAACTACCACATCTTCTAAATTTTGCAAGGTTTCTAGAAGTCTGACACTTTAACTAACCGGTGCATCGATCTTAATGAGGGCGATGTCTGATTTCTCATCCACGTCTTTGATTTTGGCATCATAGGAGGCGCCGCTCTTTAGCTCCACTTTCACTCTGTGTTTATTGGCCACCACGTGGGCATTGGTCACAATTTGGCCATCTTCAGACACAACAAAACCAGAACCACTGGCCACTGCCACTTCACGCTTGGAATAAGTCATCCTGTGGAGGGAAGAAAGGGAGACATTAGGAAAGAGTAGGAAAAGGTTAGAGTACTGGTATTCTTTCCTCTCCCCTTTAACAGTTTTTCCAGAATAGTAAAATAAAGCAGTACATGGTGTAATAGAAGTGTTAAATGCAAACCAAAAGTATGTATACTATATATATATATAAACAGTAAGAAGGTGAGTATATAAAGCTAAGCTGGAGAGATGAATAAAACAAGAGACAGATCTAAGTGAAACAACGACGGATGAAGGAGAGACAGAAATCTGAAAATCAGAGGGTTTTGACCTTCAAAAAAAACCACTTCACAAGTGATGGTGACAGACAGAAGAGAGATGAGACAGATGAAGAATCAAAGTGTCAAAGAACAAGAAGCAGAGATTAAAAAGCACAAAAATCTGGTCGGATGATTTTTAAAAAGAAGATGAAAGACTAAACTTGAGAATAAGGTGCTCTACCAACTGGTGCAGTGTGTTTAAGTACACAGGTAGGTTGTAAATTCTAGGGTTTTTCGGTCTGCCCCTCCCCAGCACCGAGCACAGACACACAGGTACGCGGCTCATACTTGCGGTAAAGTTCAATGTGAACCACAGACGGAGCAATTTTCTCCACCACGTCGGCAATGAAGTTGTATTTGTGCCTCGGGCTGTCTGGATTGTCTTGAGCTGGAAATACATCATGCACACACAAATACACAAATAGGATGTCAGCCTGGTAAAAACAAACAAAAGATGCATGGAAATACTGCATGATGTAAGAGCTGTGTGAGGATAGAGAACCAGCACATTAAACTACCCTTCATCATAACACATCTGGGAAAAGAACAGATGACAGTTCATCTGCGGTTGAGACTGTCTAGGTCTAGGTCTGACACACATGTACTCACTCATTTACAGAGTCTGGTAATAAACCTTACAAATAAACACTTCACACTGACATTTACCCTTATCTTACCCCATGGTTAAGGGTGAAAACAGAGCAGTTCTAAAACCATCCGCAGCTCTTTTGTCAAGTATAACACACAGACAGTGTGACACTGTATGTTAAGGGACTGCCAAATTCACTGAATCACCCATCCAGCTTTGGTAAGTCAGGAAATGCTGACTGACTTACCTGCTCATTAAATCCTACTCAAATGACAGTTTAAGCAAGGCTATGAATCAAGACGTCCCCAACCTTTCCCTCTTTGCTTTTCATCCTTCCATCCATAAGCTGTTATTTTGCCACATACTTTGAACTATTTTGTCTCACAAGAACAATTTTCAGTCATTACTTTCTCCTAGATGACAGAAATTGCAAAAGTATAATCCCCTGGATATCAGTGATTGCACTGAAGGGTAAAGAAACAACAAAGAGACACTTGAGTTGCAGTTAAGCTAACACCAGCATTTAATGAGCATCATGCTGCTGTATGGAACACCATTAAAAAGTACAGTCCACAAACATTTGACAAACTGCAGGAAGTAAATTCTTCTGCATGTGGTTGAAGTCTTGGTGGTCGCAGTGAAGCACCAAAATTTGTTTAGCGGGAGTTTGTTAGCTGTGAAAGTGTTCTGTTAGCTAGCAACCGTCATTATAAACTGAAGATAAAAGATGGATACAGATCAGTTCTGTATCTGAAAAGCAACGCCAATTCAGAAGTGACTTAAACCAGATCTCTTTCTAGTGGACTGTTGCAGTGGGCCACACTGAAAAGTTAATGAAGACATAAAATTAACAATGAGCAGAACTGAGTTTAACTTATCGGAGAGGCCCTTCACTACAGCTCACAACAGTTTCTCATGAGGCCCCTTGGAAAAACTAATTACCAACCCCTGCTGGAAGAAGTCATAAGGAAAATTACTTGGATTAACACTTTCCTGATGAGTATGTGGTTTCCATGTTGGACCCACCCCTTCCAGCACTTCCAGTTCTAAAAGCTAAAATGCTCAGACACTTCACAATGGTAGCTCAGGAAAAAGTGGGCCTTGGTTATAAACTGTTATGTTTTTAACTGAATCATAAACACAGAAAGATGCATGCATGCACACCTGCGACAAGAAGCTCACAGTAGTAGTGATTCTGGTAATATTGTCCTCCCACTTTCCCTCAGCTGAGCTATAATGTAATTCAAATTCCTTTACACTGGATGTAGACAGAAAACAGTTCTACATGAATTTACTTGCAGTAAGGTTTATGGATTTTTTGCTCATGTTATTAAATATTAACAACAGCAGTAAGGTCATGCTTTTTGGAAAGAGACACTGTTGTTGAGTTAAGCAGAAGGAATATCATTTATTTCTAATAAATTAAAGTGAGGCGCCAATATGTCCAAAACTGGACACCAAAACAGTCTAGATGAATGAACAGTGCTACAGTCCGGAGGAAAACATATAAAGTACATTTTGGGGTGAAAATTCCTTCAAGATAAACCCTTTGAGCATCATGAATGTTTTCCAAATCAATAATTTTACTAGAAATTTTTTGAGTTGTGGAGTTTTTCACCTCACGGATGTATGTACTGAAATCCATTTCAGTCCTGCTAATAATTGTCAAGCTATTTCTCTAAAAAAATTCAGATGCCCACCTCATAATGTAATGAAAGGACAAATGAGGGGCTCACCAAAGTTAGCAGGTTTCTGGGCATCTGGCGATTAAGATTGCCTGTGCAGAATTTTACTATAATCCATTAAATACTTGATGATTATTTCTGGGTATACGGTGTACCAAATGCTATTCTTAGAGCTAAAAGCCACTGAAAGAAACAAGAAAACCAAGTTGCTCATAAATAAATGTAACCCCCTTTTTTTTCCCCAACCCCGACATATATTTTCCTGAACTTTAAATCAAGTATTAAACATTATAAAGGCCAAACATCCTTCTTGCAATAGTATGAAGAAAAGATGGAAATTTTGGAGTAATTTCCTCCCTGCTAGCTTCAAACCCGGGGGGTTTCGTGGTCAGCTCTGATGGGATTACTGTGAGAGAAAGCAGGGCCCGGGGTCCAGAATCTGTGTTGTTTCTGGAGTGCACAAACAGGCTCCCAGTCTCTTCCACTTCACCATGTTATAATGAGTGAGGCCTCCTTGCACACATGCGGAAACCAGGAACACTCTGCTGCCACTACAATGCCAGTGTGATGATAGCAGACTTATAGGCCTAGTGGTGGTGATTTGGTAGAGACGGGATGTCATGAATCAGCCATTTTCTCCTGAGTTATATAGTGAGATAGATCATTTTATTGCTCAACTGAGCTTACAGCTGAAGCTTAGAAAGACTTTACTGTTGGAAAATTAAGTTGACTTATGAGCGAAACTGAAAAGAAGCGTCTAGATGCCAAAACGTGACTGATTCATCTTGATATGTGGAGAGAAAGTGGGATTTAAAGGCTTCTGATCACTGTCTCATCTAAGTATTGCTCATGAAAAACCTCTCCATCTGCTGAACTGCTGCTATAGTAAGATGGGATCTGTGATTGCAAGGTAATTTTCTAAACAGCTTATGTGTGTGTGACATTTATACATTTAATTAGAGTCATTATAAGGAAAGAAAAGAGGACATGCTTTTGATGGTGTGAAAAGTGGTGCGTTCAACTTCTTTTGAAAATGGGCTTGTTTAGGGTGTCACAGAGTACATTATAATAGACTCAGAAACTGCATGCAGTTTCAAAATAACTGCATGCAAATTTAATGGGCATAATTTGCCCGCAGGAGCTATTTGGAGATTACCTAAAGGCAATCATTTAGAAGCTAATGTAAAAGTAAGCTGTAGGTCACTAATAAACAAGGCAAATGGCTTTTTGGTTCAAAAAGCAGATTGAACTAGAAATCCAAGTAACATAGTGTTTTTCCCTCATAGGCGACAAAACCAACATAAACACATATAATAGGCATATAATAACAGAATGACCAATAATAGACTGAAAAGCAATTTTCATGCAGATTGATCATATAGAGATATATACTCACTTGCCACTTTATTAGGCATACCTGTTTAAGTACTTGTTAATGCAAATATCTAACCAGTCGGTCACATATCACGTGCACATGGTGATACCAGCTGAAAGTAATTCAACTTGAATATAAAAATGGGGGGGGGGGGGGGGATTTAAGAGACTTTGTATGTGGCATAGTCATTGTCATCAAATGGAGTGGTCTGTTTATTTCAGAAACTGCAGAATCTGCTGGGAAAAAAGAAAAAGAAAAAATCCAGTTCTCTGGATGAAAACATCTTGTTGATGGCAGAGCACAGAGAATGGCCGGACTACTTTGAGCTGATAGGTAAGTCAACAATAACTCAAATAGCCACTTACTACAAACAGAGTATGCAGAAGAGCATCTCTGAATGCACAGCACATTGAACCTTGATGTAACAGATGGACTAGAGCAACAGAAGACCACACCGGGTGCCACTCCTGTCAGCTAAGAACAGGAAACTTGAGTCTACGGTTCAAATCGGGTCTTCAAAATTGGACACTGAAAATTGGAAAAATGTTTCCTTATCCGATGACATGTGATTTCAACATGTGGATGGTAGGGTCAGAATTTGGTGTAAATACCATGAAATCATGGATCTACCCTGCTTTCTATCAGTAGTTCAGGCTGATGATGTAATGGTGTGGGGGATATTTTCTAGACACACTTTGGCCCCCCTCATACCAAAGAGGCATTGCCACACACTATTACTGCTGACTATGTCCAGCCCTTTATGCCCACAGTGTACCCATTTTTGTTCCGGGCGCTTCCGGCGGGATAATGTGCCATGTCACAAAGCTCAAATCACTTCAAAGTGACTTCTTGAACATGACAATGAGTTCACTGTACTCAAATGGCCTCCACAGTCACTAGATCTCAGTCCAATAGAGCACCTTCGCAATGTGATGCAACATTATTGATGTGCAGCCTACAAATATGCAGCAACTATGTGATGCCATAAACCGAGGAATGTTTACAGCACCTTGTTGAGTCTGTGCCACAAAGAGTTTAGGCAGTTCTGAAAGCAAAATGAGGCCCAAACTTGTACTAACAAGTGTAATAAAGTGGCTGGTGACTATATCTGTGTGCACCAAAGACGCATAAACAACTTTATAGAAAGTAAACTGGAAGTGGAGTATTTCACACTTGGTAAATTAAGAAGCGATATATTTGGTGTAACAGCAAGTACACACTCTTGTTACTCCGACTCACCCTGTCAGACACTTAGTCTAATTGCTTTGGTTTATAGGAAAGCATTAGCAGAAATAACTACTGACTATAAAAGTAGTATGATAATATGATAAACAGTAATACTGTAAATGTTAATGATTAGCAGCACACCACAAAATATCACTTGAGTTTCAGGGCAATGGCAGACTGAGACTTATGAACAGTCTTGTCAATATCACAGACATTACGCTGCTATTCAGCAGCTATTTTGGAGATGGCACTTAAGGTAAAAGTAGGGATGGGTCAAGTGAGTTGCATGTAATATAGAGTGGATGTGGTGTTTAGATTTTTAAGCAGTCCAAAAACAAAATTGTTCTTATGTGGGAGGGTGGCATTCCTACTAAGCAGTAACTTATCCTGACAGAGAAGCGTATACACACTCTCACCACACAATTTAAATGATATACTGACATAAAAACAGTAATAAACCTGCTTTAAGTTTCTGTGACCTGATGAAGTTAAGATTTCACCCATATGCAAGACATATTGAGAAGTGTGGTAACTGCTAATGAAAGCCTCATAATATTTAAGTATCTATTAACAATAATCAGATGTCGGAAAGAGCTTTTTGGAGTCAGTTCAAGCATTAAATGTGAGGAAAACCATTCAAAAACAACATTTATTAAAAGGAACCTAATTTAAAAGTACTCTCCCCTCCCAACATACACACTCAAAGGCCCCCCAACTTCACAACCCCATACATCCATTACCCCTCCCCACTCAACACACGAGCTACAGGTCAGGGTGTCTTTTCTTCTTCAGCTTTCCCATGCATAGGACCCTTTGTTTTATTGGTTCCTGCAGACTAAAAGACGATTTGTGTTCTCCCAAGAAAAAAACCTTAAGAAATGAAAAAACATAGATGTGAACAAAGTGGATTCAGTCCAGCTGGAATTAAGCTAATGCACTAGCAAATCTTTCAGATATGTTAAGAAGGAGGGGCAAAGGAAAGGATCGTTATCAGCATGGACATCCGGTCGGAATGCAAAGAACACAGCCATCAGTTATTCTCCGGAATTTTAGGTTTGTTTTCCTTTAGATCAAAGGTAATTTAACTAACCAAAGGGGAAACTCATATAAGCTCTGAAAGAGCCAAAATAAGTTTAGAGTAAATCATTAACTTAAAGATAGAAAGGTTTAATAAATTAACTCTTTTCACTCCACATTAGCATGAGAATAGTGAGGGGAAGGGTGTATAGCCCGTATACAAGGTGTGCCAGGTGGAATAGAGGATTAAAGGAACCAGTCAGTGAAAAGAAAGTAAGGTCAGCAAGTAAAGCTACGTCAAATGGGTTGTTGTCAAAGGACAGTACTGATTGTTTAAAAAAAAGCAAATAAAATGTAAATAGTGTGGCCCCTCTTTGGCCTTAAAAAGTATGGCAAGTATGCGCCTTAGTGCATATGTTATTATAAAATTACTTCCAGTAGGTCATTGATTTTGGCTCGCTGTACTTCTTCAATGATTCAGAACATATGAGCTTGCTACAGTGTTAAGACCATGAATCATTTTGTTTCGATGGGGCTTTTTTCCCCAGTTATGAAAGCATACAGTTGAGCTTTGCCGCTGTTTATAATACTACAATGACACACTGGCAGCTGTTTCAAATGACTCACTGAGTGATTATAATTAACCCAATTTTTCCATTCCCAATATTGATTCAATTTACCCTATTTTAATCCAGTGAACTTAATTTTTTCCATTGTGAACTCCATCTAAGGTTGAAAGCACATAATACAACCAGAAACACTCACACCGAGTTAGTAACAGGGCAGTTAGAGCAGCATGGAGAACCCATTCAAAACAATGTCACATTTTATTGTTAGAAAATGATGTATGTCGATCAGTACAGTAGCTGCAAAAGCAGGCTTTAACCCTTTAAGAGATATTAAACCAATGCAATATTCAGTACAGTGTTTAATAACACTTATCGTGGCCCATAGACAAGAATGGAGGTACAGCAATTTGGTGTGGTGCAAAAGCATTACATTTCTCTAATTAGTGCAATTTAGGCAATTCGGACATACACAAATGTGCTTATGTTGCGGTCAGTATTAGATGACATTAAAAAGAGGCTGAGCAAGGAAGGGGCTGCAGCAAATATAGTTTAGCAGAGAGAGGAATGAAGGAAGCAGGAGAATTACAGACATCAAACAGGAAAAAGAACAGATGAGAAAAGCAGACAGGCAGACATTCAGAACCAAAAGCAGACACTGACAAGTAGAACAACAAAAACAAGTCACGTGCATGTGCCCAAAAATGATGTTTTAACATCATGAGTGGCTGAAACAAGTTGCGGAAGAATGTGCGTATTCAGCAGATGTCACTCGCTGGAGTCACAGAGTACATTCTGTCTGCAACATCAGCTATGAATTAAAGAGCAGCGCAAACTGTGTCGGGTTTTCAACTGGATTAAAGTCTAAACAGATTATAAGAAAGTCAGCCTCACCTTCACGTTCACACCTTCATGCAACCCCTCCATAGTTCTAGTTCACAGTTTGAGAGGCACCAAGTGATTCAGTTCTGATCTCCAATACTCTTCAGCACTTTTCCTGTCAGTCTGTGTCACATTAGTGCTTTTAAACTGCCAAAAAGTTTTTTTCCTGCACTTTTTAAAAAAAATAAATAGATAATTTTTAACAACTATGACACCAAGGTCACAGTCAAATTTTGGCCTAGTTTTTTTCTTTCTTTTTTCCCCAAAATGAGCTACGCCTTTACTGTCCAGACACGAAATGACATCATGCAACTGCGCTCACATGTTTTTTCTTAACATGAGGCCAGGTTGCGGTGTATTTCAAGGCACTCAGAGGGGTTTAAGTTTCTTTTCAGTGTCAGCTCTTGACATTCTGAGTCAACAGACCTGTTCACAATTTATGTTAAAGTTGACATTTCTTTTTAAAATATGTGCTTCTGCTACAGTCTTAGTCAGCACCAGCCTGGACAGGGACAAATCTAATGCACGAAATAAAATGCAACTTCCAGCTATGGAAATTCTCACAGGGTGTCTTGGAAAATCAATAGCACTCACCACAGTCTTGCTCAGTTTCAGACATGGTTAGCTGCTCGGGAATGACTTAACCATTTAAGCTGCTTACATGACTGACAAACAAATGTGGCGATGCAGTCTGCCCTTCCACTGTGCCCACATGGTTTTTGATGTACATGTACAACTTTCCCGAAAATATGGGTTGCTAATTTTGTGTTTTCCTCAATGTCTCCTGCCTGTTTTAAACAGTCTTCAACAGAGGTGGAATTTTGGCTTTGAATCAGTGCCAGGAATTCCTTCATGTGACTGTTAAGTGTGATTTATGAGTGACAACACAGACCAGGAGTGAAAGACACTTCCACAGTCAAAAAGAGAACAGAGGAAGAAGCTGGGGTGGTGGTGGGGGGCTGTGGCAGGGTGGATTAAGTAAGTTTCCAAGCCTTGAGGTAAGTTATAGATCTTTGATGCAACAGGTGTTTAACGTTGTCATTTGTGTGTTTTTAAGTGCACATATGTTGCCAAATTTGAGAAGAAAAAAAAAGTACGTACACAGTAACAGTAAAAACCGTAAAGGACACAATGTTTTTACCACCTGCAGCATCACTAGTGATCGTTTTTTCATTCCTGGATGTTTTATGTCATGCATAAATTGTAAAAAAATTACACTATTAATGATGACATATGACTCATGTGCATTCTCATTTGGGCTGTGCTGTTTCACAGAGCAGCAGATGCAAAGAGTGAAGTCTCATTATAAGTGAGCTTCACTGATTAGCACGAAATACCTGTCACATGACACTATGACAAAATGCAGGTCCATACTGAAACACTTCCATTTATCATTATAAATATATCTCCAGTTATATTTAATAACAGTTTATATCATACATATCAGGTTTTGACATTCCATTCTATTCAGCTAATGCACATATTTCAGGCAAAGACCACACGGCATAAAGGAATCAACCAGATTATAGTCATGTGACTGCTGGTCATGCATGCCAGAGTAATCCTAAGGTTCACATCAAGCTTTACAACAGGGCATAACTCGTGGCTTCATTCAGCCATGGGGGGGAAAAAGAAAACAACACAAAAGAAAAGCCCTCTCTGATCAAGTCTAATTGTAATGCAGGATCAAGGGCTGCACTTGAATGGCTGCTCTTGTGGTTCCAGACACATGGGGATTGTGTGCCACTGAATGCAGCGCTGAGCTACAACATCTGTGCGACCTTGAGACAATAAATGCCCAGTGAGGAATGATGGGATCACGTTCAACAACAAGTTGTAAATAATTAAGGTAAAACGGCCAAAAAATGACACCATGTTACAGAAAATGTGCAACGATTGATTTCAGCTGCAAAACTAATGTTTTTGGCTCACAACGCTCAAAAGAGAGTAGCCTATTCATGATTCTTGACACTATACTGTAATCAATTAACTTTAAACGTCGAATCTACTCCCTCCTATTTATTATCAATATCTCAGTGTGTTTTGGGTTAAGGGTGTCTTGATCAAAACAGTGTGAGTTCTACCTTTCCCGCAGGCTCCCCGCTGAATGAAAAGAACAGGTGGCTGTTGCAATTTCTGCGCCCGTCGACTGACCCTCTTCAGCTCGCAGATATTCCGGTAGGACACCCCATCGCTTCCACAAACCGCTTCGGTGGTTTTGCACACGCAAATCCCACTCTTGCTTCTCCTCCTCACCGTCACAGTGTATGCAATCCCGCCGGAGACCGAGCACTCCAGCTCCTCTCCGCACACTGGGTCGCCGAGCTTCCCACTGCCGCCGCAGGCTTCGCCTTCACCGGAGGCGCACACCGGGCAGCAGTGGCAGGCGTCGAGGGTTTGTCCTGTCGGACAGTCCGCTGGTAGCCGAGGACACATCGACTTATCACACCGGGAAGGACATCCGACAACATAACGGCTGGAGATTTGCGCATCCGCCGGCACGGCTGCAAAGGCTACGATTGCGCATAACAGCAACCAAAACATGTTTCAGACTGAAAAAGAAGCTCCCCTAAAAATTCACCAGAAACTTTTAAAGAGTTCCAAAAGGTCGCTCTGTGCTAGCAGTGTTATGGGATGACAGAGCTCAGTGCTGAGGGGGGAGTCAACCCAGCTGGAGAGGCATTTAACAGAAACTCCACTGCGTAACCAATTACGCGATTTTACGTTTTTGCTGGCACGGCATCAAACATGCAACTCACTTTCTAGATAATAACAACAAGCAGGGTGATTGGTGGCTTTACGTGACGTACTGAATCGGAAGAGTTAAATTACTGACAAGTCTCCAAAAGCGTGAAGATAAATAATCAGAGGAAAGAGCAGAAAATTGCCATGACTGGTGGGAGGAAGTGATTTTAAATATATTAGTTTTATTTCAGCCTATTACAAAACTTTAAATATCAATGTCAACTTGAAAACAAGCAAGAATATTGAGAATATCGAGACTATTTTAGTCCACCAGTGTTTCCTGTCGATGACTGATGAAATGAATAATAGCAGAATAAGGATGCATGTAGCCCAGATGTTTTACGCTATACAGCCTTCCACACATCCAGCGTCACTATTTCCTTATGCTGTAGTTATTTATTTTCCTGTTCTAATGCTTCCTTGTGAGTCACTCCTGGCACCCGCACAAGCCTCATGGCTAATTAAAAAAAATCAGTGGTGGAACAATAATTGCGTGGATTGTGGGTTTTATGCGTTCATGCACACTTAATAAACAGCCAACTTTGCTCCAGTTGGAAGACTGCATGAAGACATAACTTATCTAGGCCTGTTTATCATGATGCAGGGTTAAGCACCCAGCAAGTAGGGGCATAACAAGTCTAGTACAGGTATCCAAATAAAGAATGCACTCAATTCAAGAGCAATCAACATCGTTTTGTACAACTAATCACTCAAAATATTTGTAAACATCAACTCTTGACACATTTCCAGCAACAGAGTAGCACATTTTAATTTTGGCAAACAGCAAACCGTTGTTAGATTAAGATGTCTGTGGTGAGCTGTAAGAGTCCAGTAAACTCTATAAATCAGCCTCATAAAATACCCAACACAGTTTGATAGACTGTGTTAAGACAGGCTTGTTTTTTCTCTTTTTTATGTGCCTCTTGGTTTAAATGTGGTCGACAAATACAGCAGAATATTTGTCCATGCCCCTGCTTGGGACCCTGTGGTGTGCTGGGGCTCAGGAAACCCAAATCTCTTGTATCTTTGGGGCAATTAGAAGGGGGGCATAACGGAAACAGACTGGACTCTTGTATAGCACAGGAAACAGAGTCTACAATGTAGACTGTAACCCAGAGCTGATGTTAAGAGTTAAATGACAGGGTTCATTCATTTTTTTCGCAGAAAAAACAAAAACAAAAAAAAAAAACAGAGCTGAAGCTGAACGCTCTTTAATTTCAGTCCAAGACAACACACATTGTTGGCTGATGCAAAAACGGCCGAAACCCACGCAACATCATCAGCTCCGTTATGTGGCACTACGTAGGCGAGAAATGGTGGGAAAACTTGCAGATGAAAGCAACCTCATTTATAAGGAACACCCATCCTTCAGCCGAGGACAGTGAACGTAGCCAATGATGGACGCCACTGAGGTCTGTGTGATCTCGCCTCCCAAGTTTGTCCAGGCTGTGAGTGAGGCCATTGAAGGACCAAAATGGAGCTGTACTTCCACATCTGAAGCCACACCAAAGTCTGGCATCCTCCAATGAGCATAGGAGCTATGGTATATATGGAATATCAAAGAGCTGTACATCCAAGCTCATACTTAAACACACCAGCTAATTATAAATGATTTTGCTTCTTCCAATGACACCATCCACATGTACCGTAAAATGTCCACACATGCAGCATTCACAATTAACTGCACACATAGAGACGAAGCCCCTGAATATGCCATAACTCATTATCCAGCTGATTAAAGAGGCTTTAAATATTCAGTCCACACGTACCATATCAAGCTCAAGGCTGAATATGTAAGGAGCACCTCATTAAGAGATGACAAACGATGCTCATACATACGCTTTATCATCGATGTTGGAGTGGAAATACTTGCTCCATGTACACCGACTGTTCTACATTGCCAAGTTGGCTTACTTGTACAGTTTCCATTCATACTTTTGGTCCTCGATGAAGATGATTGTCTCTTTTTACTCAGCTGTAGTGTAGATTAGGTTTTATCATCAAGCCGTGAGGAAGAATTTAAATATCACGCACAATTTCAAATTCAATTTTAACTAGCAAATAGGAAAGGCCCACCTTAGTCAGATATAACGGCAAACACATTTTATAGAATTATAACAAAATAAAGTTGAATTATGTTTGCAAAAGTTCTGATACTTTGTGTATTTATATTTTATTATATAAATTGTTAATGCAGGGCTTTTATATGGAGTGTGGAGTTGATGGCTTTTATTCAAGGATCCAAAAATGGTCAGTTTCTTATTTATTGTAATTATTTTGATGGCTTGTTCTGGTTGAGGCTAATATTTCTGTAAACATGGAATTAGGGGAAGCTCACAGACACACCCTCTTTTGTTAATGTGGCTTTTTGCATGCTTCTTACATGATTCTTGTTATGATTCTTGGCTGGGTCTGTGCTGAAACATCTGTTTCATGCTTCTCGTGTGTGGTGCTTTGCACTCCATCAACTGAAACCTTTGCAGTCATCCGTGATGAAAACATAACTGGTGGTTTATAGAGCACAGGAATGTTTTCAATGACAAAGTGAAGATTTTTCTCTTGCCACAAGAGGGCAGAGGAAACTCTCTGCAATCACATCAAACACTCAAATCAAACTGTGGATGCTGCCAAAAGTTTCTCTCTTTGCAGACTTTGTAAACCTCTTATATTCCACCAGACTCATGCTCTCCTGGATAAAGATAAGCACAATACTGAAACATGAGCACATTTTCAGTGTTTATTTCTTTCAAGTCATCCACATAATAAATAGAGACAATTCAAACCAATTACACTAGACTGAAAAGAGGGTGAAATAGCTTGGCTTTGCTAGGCTCTAATGCGGCAGGCACTTAAAAAAGATTAGTGTGTATTATTTAGAAGGATTACAGTGGGACTTTTTTTTTTTTTTTTTTAAATAACACCATGAGGCAGCTTCCTGCTACTAGGCTGTCAACACAAAAGTGAACAGGAACAGGACATGCCTAAAAGCATATAAAAAATAAATCTGTTTCTAGTCTGCAAACACGCAACAACCAAAACATCTGTAGATTAGAAAAAAATAATACAATTTTAGGTATTATTAAAACCTTAGCATGCAACATAAGTGGCTGAGCTTGAATACTTTTTCTGTTAAACTATGAATTAAAACGTATGCACTTGATCAATTCAGTATTATCTTCAAACTAGTAAACACAGGTTTAAGCAAATATGTCTTTCAGGACCGAGCTAAAGCTCACTCTGCCATATTGTTGTTGCTTTTCTTTTTAAATCAATATTAATTACAAAATGCATAGAAGCATAGTCCTCATCGTCTTCTTGTTCACTTGCTACTTTAAGCCGTCATCAAGACTCCAATAATACAGAGAAATATGATTCACCAGAAAGAGTGACTTGGGTTGTGACATGGTGCACACGCTGTGAAAGCTTTCAGTTTTTCTTTTTTCATCTGCACGGCACTTTGACTTTACTACCACAAGTGGATTATTGGTTAAAACTATTTACTGTCGTAGTAGTAGTAGTAGTACACAGAAGACTACTTTATTTTGTCAGTAACATCAACTCAATCAACCAAAACGTTGTTGAGGAAACAGTTGCAAAAAGAACAGACCTTAACCCTCCCCGTATATTTAAAAACAGATTCAAGTCAGTGGCTTGGCCACTGTAAAAAAAAGAAAAAAAGACTAAATACATTTCACCTTGCATAATTACACACATCGGATTGTACATAACTATTTCCATTTTTTATATATATATATTTTTTTTTAAGTCTAGCCCAGTCCAGAATTGTCGACTTTTAATTTGCATTAAAGTGAGGATTTGATCTCTGACTTGGCCTGCTCCAAAAAATAAACACTGGCGATAGTACACAAATCCAGTGTTACAATAATGAGTATGAATGGATCACACAGTTTAGTACAAGTAGATCTGAGAGGTGACAAAATGCCAGTCCTCACTTTGAACACTCTTTTCAGATGTGAGGAATTAGCTAGCACCCTTAAAAGCTCCCTTATTTTCTTGGCACAAAGTGGTTTGCAAAATTCCTCAACACTTAAATGCTTTTAACACCTCTTTATGCCTGTACAGATTAAAATAAAGCTGTTATTGAGTGCTAATTGACACAAGTTAAGTAGAAGGTGTAAATTAACTCTTGGTAAATAATAACATCATTTAAACTATGACAGAAGGCGGGAAGGGGGGGAGCTGGGTGGGTAGAGCCTGGGTTGACTTTGGCACAAGAGTGCAGTTTCTCCTGTACACCGATGGAGTAGTTCCAAAGAGTTTGTGACAGAGCTTTGACTGGGGAAAAAAAATTAATGTTGCTCACAGGATTTCTTCTTTATCTGAGGATCTCAGTCAACTTCCGCTTGACTTTTAATGTCCAGTTAAACGGGTTAGACCTCACTCACTGGCAGAACAGCATCCTCTAGGTTCAGGGGTGTTTCAGGCATGTGGGGCTCAAAGCTGCTCCGCCGGCGCCACGGTGACTCCTCAGAGCTGGCGACGTTGGTCACGGGAGCGTCGCAGGTCACTTTGCCAGGCGTGTTTCCTGCAGGGACAGGCGTGCTGGCGTGTGGCTGTGACTGGGGCGTGGCAGCAGGCTCATGAAGTGCTCGCTGTCCCATGCCAGACTGTGAGCGTGTGCCGCACGTGACAGCACTCCCCCACTCTGGGTAGCATGGTGGCACTGCAGATATGGGCGAGCGAGGGACGGGGGGACCCGTGGGGGTGCGGTAGAAAGTGGAACGGCTGCCGTGTTCCTGCAGCAGAAAAAGCACGAGGAAAGAAAGAGCAAGAATGAAGGAGACAAGAGGAGTTGTTGTTAGTGAGATGAGTCAAATCCTGAGATGTGTACTTCATGTGAGAAGAGCCAAAGTTAGTTACAGACTTGGAATTAGCGCCCGCATTTGAGGCCTGATGCAGCTTGAAGTTGTAGGTGCTCAAGAATGAAGCATTGCTAGAATATGGAGATGACGGCAGTAGGAGTGGTAGCAGTAGAAGTAGAGGTAGCAGGAAAAGTAGTGTCAGGAGGTTTTAGTTTTGGTAGTCTCAATAGGTTGCAGTAGAAGTTCAAACAGAGTGCAGTGGTTGGTTGTTGCTCATTATTTCACAGCTTTTCAGATTTCAATCTCTGAGGAAAAAAAAGATGTATCAGAAGAAAGAAAAAAACTCAGTACAGGTAGGAAAAAAAGGGTCAGCAGGAGGTGAAATGTAGGTTAGACAAACACTCTGCAATGCTCTGTAATGCACCAAAATGTGCACATGAAAGCACCACCTTTATGGCTGTATATTTTTAAACATAGCCTCTTCACCAAGATGCTTATTCACGGTAACACCATATGACATTGCAGGCCTGTGCAACTTCCTAACTATCACTTACGCGTCATAAAATTTAAGAGTAAAATTGTAGCACAAACATGACAGAAAACCACAGTAAGCGTCACAAGTGTATTAAAAGTTCTTTTTTTTGTTCTCGTCGTTGAATCCAAATGTCCAAAATCAAGCTCATGTCGAAATTTAGCGGACAGTGGGAGGGGAAAGATTAGACAATCTCACAGTATGAAGGGTTGGGAAAACCCAAACCTTTACTGCAGTGCCAGTTGTCATCCATTGTAGGCATTTAAAGCTAACCTGCTCTAAATTTGACTTTTTTTTTTTTGTTAAGAGTCGAGCCCAACCGAAACAGGATATTAAAGCCTGATGTTTTGTGATTTAAAAATTCAATATAGCCGCCGATATTTTCTTTTCATTCAGACACACAAAACAAAACACTATTTATTCTTTTATGTGTCATTATTTATGATTACATACCAACATAATAAAACAAGATTATTTTTAAACGGCATCATTGCAACAAGTGTTGATTGACCTGTGTTTGTGTGAATCCGCTTTGCCTACTGGGAAGTTGCAGAGTGCCTTCTGGTGGACAAACTATGTAACAACATGCCACAGTTGAAGGGTGTTTCCTTCTGTCCCTTTATTACTTCCCTTGTTTTCATCAACAGTCACAAATGCCAATACTGATATATCAACAAATAGCTAATATCGGCCAATATATCAGCCCAACCGATAGCTGTTTAAGAAAAAAGCCCCAACATGTCACTATGAAAACTGAGTTTGTGACTCTGGACCTGTGGATTCAGCTTTGGTGAGTTGTTGTTACACATTCACAACATTCAGAGATGTGCTTTCGGAAGTCAAGATGAAAACAAGGATTTTGTTGTATGGGAACATATGAGAAAGATAAAATAAACATACAGGCAGCGAACAGGAGGGAGGAGAAGAGACAAGCAGGATGTCACACATCTAAGACAGGTACACAGCTGCAGCAGACTGCAGAGATAACAGAGCACGGAGGGAAGAGAAACAGAAGGTGTGAAAGATGCAGTAATAAAGACACAGATACAATTAGGCTTAAACTATTCATAGCTAAGCTGGTCAGACAGTTCATGCAGTCAGAGCATATTTGTGCATGAATACTTCCAACTTTGCACTGAAATGTCATCAGCAACAAAGAAAACATAAGAAAGCTGTGGATGAAGATGAAGGCTGCAGGGCCTTGTGATGGTCAGTTTAGAGTCATTTTGTACTGTGGCAGAAAAAAACCCTTCATTTTTAGCATTTGAAAGACTTGAAGTATGTTTGATTTGCACTGCCATGCCTGTGACAACAGCCATCACATGCAAGAGAAGCAAGCACACCTAGACTCTTAAAACACCTGACGCACAAATTGCATCCCTTTAGCTGCAAATATTCTAAATGCAAAACCCCTAAACTTTATGCTAAGCTTGATATCAGAGAGCTGCAAAACAAAACAAACAATTAAAAAAAAAAGCAAAGGAGATTGAGGGGTGAAGATAAGCAGCGAGAATGAGGATGTGAAAGGAGGAGGAGCAGTTGTTGGGTAATCACAGCCATACGTAGGGTGTGGTTGGTTCAAAGCAACAAAAAAGAAAAAAGAAAAGCGCATCAGATGTGCAGTCGGATCTGATCTGTTCCCCTTCGTCCACAAACAAAAGGACCAGCCAATAAGTGAAAAAAAAAAGTATTAAAAAGCTGAACCCAGAGCTTAAAAAAGGGGGAGGGAGTGGGATTTAGACGAGCTGACATACGTGCTGCTGCACTCCCCGATTCGGGACGTATACCTCTGTATACAAGGGTTCGACAGCCGTCTGGCCTGCCGCATCTGCAACAACACAGCGCAAAGCAGGATTAGAGCAGATGGGCCATCTGCCCACTGGGAAAGGAGAAGAAGAGGTGGAAAGAATGTGAAAGGAAGAAAGGGAGAAACGGATCGAGAAAAGAGGCACAGGGAAGGAAAGACAAGCTAGAGAGAAAGACACAGAAGGCAAGAAAGGAAACCACAGAGAAACAGACGCTTGCGGATAATGACTTCAGTCTAACCAAAAGGGCCCAAATGTGGCAGAGGCTGGTTTTCATCTGCAGTGAGGACAATGGAAGTGGTTTATTTCACTGCTCACCTACTGGGTCAAGCTGCTCGACTCCCTGCACGTAGACTTCTGAAAAGTAACTAATGCTCAACAAGTGGTGACAGCTGGTTATCCATTACCCACTTTAGCTAAATCAGTTCAGGGGCAACC